AAGGCTTTCTTATCTTTCCTTGCTATTCTTTGGAACTCTGCATTCAAATGGGTATATCCTTCCTTTTCTCCTTTGCCTTTCAGTTCTCTTCTTTTCTCAGCTATTTGTAAGACCTCCTCAGAAAAACATTTTACCTTTTTGCATTTCTTTTTTGGGAAGGATGGTCTTGATCACTGCCTCATGTACAATGTCATGAACCTCCATCCATAGTTCTTCAGGCACTCTGTCTATCAGATCTAATCCCTTGAATCTATTTGTCACTTCCACTGTATGATCATAAGGGATTTGATTTAGGTCATACCTGAATGCTCTAGTGGTTTTCCCTACTTTCTTCAGTTTCAGTCTGAATCCGGCAATAAGGAGTCCATGATTTGAGCCACAGTCAGCTCCCTGTCTTGTTTTTGCTGACTGTATAGAGCTTCTCCATCTTTGGTTGCAAATAATATGATCAATCTGATTTTGGTATTGACCATCTGATGGGGTTGGGACACTCTGTGTAGAGCTCTGGTAAGCCAGAGACCAGCTTGAAAGCACTGGACACTTAGGTAAGACTATTAAAGTCATACACAATGATGTAAGTCAGAGAGACAAACAAATACCATATAATATCACTTATATTTGAAATCTAGAAAATTAGTGCAGACGAACTTATTTTGCAACGCAGAAACAGAGACACAGATGTAGAGAACAAACATGAATACAAAGGGAAGAAGTGGGAAGGGATATACAAACCACTATGTATAAAATATCTTCCCTGGTGGCTCAGACAGTAATGCGTCTGCCTGCAATGCAGGAGACCCGGGTTTGATCCCTGGGTCAGGGGGATCCCATGGAGAAGGAAATGGCAACCCACTCCAGTACTCTTGCCTAGAAAATTTCATGGATGGAGGAGCCTGATGGGCTACAGTCCATGGGGTCGCAAAGAGTTGGACACAACTGAGCAACTTCACTTTCACTTTTCATGTATAAAATAGGGCTTCCCAGCTAGTGCAAGTTGTAAAGAATCTACCTGGCAATGCAGGAGACATAAGAGATACAGGTCAGATCCCTGAGTCTGGAAGATCTGCTAGAGGAGGGAGGGCATGGCAATCCACTCCAGCATTCTTGCCTGGAGAATCCCATGGGCAGAGGAGTTTGGCAGGCTACAGTTCATAGGGTCACAAAGAGTCAGACACAACTGAAGTGATTTGCATGCATGCATGTATAAAATAGATAACTAAGAAGGACCTACTGTTTGGGCTTCCCTGATAGGTCAGTTGGTAAAGAATCTGCCTGCAATGCAGGAGACTCCGGTTCAACCCCTGGATCAGAAAGATCTGCTGGAGAAGGGATAGGTTACCCACTCCAGTATTCTTGGGCTTCCCTTGTGGCTCAGCTGGTAATGAATCTGCCTGCAAAGCAGAAGACCTGGGTTGGGAAGATCCCCTGGAGAAGGGAAAGGCTACCCACTCCAGTATTCTGGCCTGGAGAATTCCATGGACTGTATAGTCCTTGAGATTGCTGTTTAGCACAGGGAACTCTACTCAATACTCTGTAATGGCCCATATAGAGTGCATATATGTGTATGTATAACTGATTCACTTTGCAGTACACCTAAAACTAACACATTTAAAATCAGCTATCAGTTCAGTTCAGTTCAGTCACACAGTCATGTCTGACTCTTTGCGACCCTGTGAACCACAGCATGCCAGGCCTCCCTGTCCATCACCAACTCCTGGAGTCCACCCAAACCTATGTCCATTGAGTCGGTGATGCCATCCAACCATCTCATCCTCTGTCATCCCCTTCTCCTCCTGCCCTCAATCTTTCCCAGCATCAGGGTCTTTTCAAATGAGTCAGCTCTTCGCATCAGGTGGCCAAAGTATTGGAGCTTCAGCTTCAACATCAGTCCTTCCAGTGAACACCCAGGACTGATCTCCTTTAGAATGGACTGGTTGGATCTCCTTGCAGTCCAAGCGACTCTCAAGAGTCTTCTCCAAAGAGAGTTGGACTATAAAGAAAATCAGCTATACTCCAGGAAAAATTAATTTTAAAAAAGTGAAGGAAAGGTGGTTTCTGAAAATGATAAAAGCCATTAAAAGCAAGTTTCCTTTAAGCTACAGTTCAGCCAAGAGCAGCTAGCTTGGTTCTGGTGTGTCCGTGATAAAAAGTGGTTGCTTCTTCACATTTCAGAAAACTCTTCAGCTCTCAGTAGGGATCATATCAAGTGAGGTTAAAGAATTCTCAGGGATCAATTGACTTCTGACTCAACTTTGGGTTTTTTGAAGAGATACCTTAAATTTTGTTTTACTACAAAAGAAATTCTCTTTGTAGAGTATTCAAACAGTTATAAAATATATAGACTCAAACCTGAACAATCCCCTCAACATCCACCACAATACTTGGCTTTTGCTATTCTATACTGTGCTTCCCTGTTACATTCTATGCCTTTACTGGCATATACATACATCTACTTTCTTACACAAATTCAATGAGCTTTACCTGTTATATATACCTTTTCATTCTTTTAATTTTTAAATTTGTTTTATTGTATTAAAATATACATAATGTAAAAATTACCTTTGTTATCATTTTTGAGTGTATAATGCAGAGGTATTAAGTACATTCACAATGTTACATAATCATAAATGCTTGACTCCCAGGGAAGTAGGCAATCAGTTTCTTAGGTAGCTTTACCGAAGTCTATACACATGTAGGCATAAATGAAAGTGAAAATGTTAGTCACTCAGACGTGTCCAACTCTTTGTTACCCCATGGACTGTAGCCTGCCAGACTCCTCTGTCCATGGGATCCTCTAGGCTGGAATGGGATGCCATTTCCTTCTCCATGGGATCTTCCTGACCCAGGGATCAAACCCCATGTCTCCTGAATTGCAGGCAGATTCTTTACCATCTGAGCCACCAGGGAAACTCCTATAAGCATACATGGATGGACATATATACCTTCCCTCCTTTTTTACATAGTAGTAGCAAACCATAAACAGCTTTCTCTTTTCACTTAATATCTGCAATATGTAAATATATATGATATATATATATATACAATTCTTACATATATACTCTTCTGCTATGCTACTATTTTAATTCTGACTCAATTTTTTAGAAATTAATTTTTTTTTGTGACAAAAAAACATGTAACATACAATTCACTCTCTCAGCAATTTCTAAGTGTACAATACAACCACATGCACAGCCTCATGCAACAGATTCCCTAGAACCCCTGACTTCAGTCCTGCTTGATTGAAACTCCACATCCACAAAACAATTCTCCTCCCCTTCCCCCTAGCGCCTGGAGTACATGATTCCACTTTCTGTTTCTATGAGTCTGACTACTTTAGGTACCTCCTGTAAGCGGCATCATACAGTATTTCTCCTTTTGTGACTGGCTCATTTCACTTAGCATATTATCTTCAATGTTCATCCATGTCATAGTCTATGGCAGGATTTCTCTCTTTTTTAAGGCTGATTTCCCTCTCTTTTTGTATATGCCATATTCAGTACACATACCATCAGTGTATATGCCACATTTTCTTTATCCATTCATCTCTCTATGGATATTTAGATTGTTTTCACTTCTTGCTATGGTGAATAATGCTGCAATAAACATGGGGGTGCAAATATCTCTTTGAGAGTCTGCTTTCAATTCTTTCAGATATATTTCCAGAAGTGGAATTGCTGAATCACATGATAGTTCTATTTTTAGTTTTTTGAGGAACCTCCTCACTGTTTTCCATAGCAGTCGCACCACTTTACATTCCTACCAACTGCAAATAGTGTTCCAATTTCTCCACATCCTTACCAACACTTACTATTTTCTGTTTTATTTTAAATACTAGTCAGCCTAATGGGTGTGAGATAATACCTTACTGTGGTTTTGGTTTGCATTTCCCTGATGATTAGCGATGCTGAGCATCTTTTCATATGCTTATCGGCCATTTGTTTATCTTCTTTGGAGAAATGCCTATTTGAGTCCTTTGCCCATTTTTTTCATTGTGATATTTACTTTGTTATTGGATTGTAGGAGTTCTTTACCTATTAACCTCTCACCAGGTACGTGGTTTGCAAATATTTTCTATTTTTGCCTTTTCACTGTTAATTCATCTGCTGCACAGAAGTTTTAAATTGAATGTAGTCCCTCTTGTCTAGTTTAGCTTTATTTTTGCTTGTGTTTTTGGTGTGACTCATTAACTTTTACTTCTCTTAGGGCCAGACTTTCATCAGGATAGCTTGGTTGTGATTTTTGCCTTCCTTTCCACCTCAGTGCTCTCTTGCACATTGTTTAACGGGGTGTTGGCTAATTACTATTGGTTCCCTGATGGGATACACCCAGAATTACCTTAATTTTTCTGGACTCATTCCCACCGAAGGTAATGGGAGGCCTATGGGAGAGGGGGTTCTTTCCTCCCATTTTCTCACTCCTTTCCCCTTCATCTCGCCTTTTTAAAAAATCCCCTTCATTTCCCTATGTTGAGGTACAGAATCTCCTCTGTCCCCCTTCCCTCTCCCACTCTCCTCAGGGAGTGGGGCGGTGGTCTCTGAGCCAATGACAGGTCAGCCCACGGGCGGACTCCAGACCAATGAGCTCTTCTGGGTTCCAGCTGGACCAATTAGTTTATTAGGGACATTGAATACCTGTTATATAGCTAGCATCTGTCCCATTGTCCTCTTATTAAAGACCCTCTGGTTTGACCCATCAAGGATTTGACTGTGTAAATGAGGCCCTACACTCTCCCCCCGCCTTTTTTGGTTTTGTTTTTTAATTTTGGTGGCTTTAATCCATCTCCACAACTTCTGCCCAAGGCCAATAAAACACAGCCATTCTCCCTTTGTAAAAAGAAAGAGGGGTTGGGTTTCCTTCAATTGTCTGCCCTTTTCTGTCTCCTCCACTATTTTTGTTTTATTCTGTAGTTAACTTTACATAGAGCAGCTTCGTCCGAGGACCTGTGCGCTGGACCCGGGCACTCTCTTCTCATTGCTTGTGGCAACGGCCCTTCCGTTTTTCTAACCTAGGGGTTTGTGGGGGCCAGGGGCTTGGCGGCTGGGAGAAGAGTTTGGCCAGAGTCTTCCTTCTGCATTTCACACACATTCTGCTGGCGCTCTCGCTCTCTTACACACACACACACACACACACACACACAAACACACACCCCCGCTCCGGCCCCTCTCCGTGTGTCTTCCTTCAAGATGACAGGGCGCTGGAGAAAAGGCTGCTGGAATCAGCTGGTAGGTACAGTAGTAACCCGAACCCCACCCACCCGCTGCCTTTGCTCGCTCAGGTTTCTCCGGTCACTCCTGCCAGGGGAGAAAACATGTAAACGCGCCTCCAGAGGAGGGGCAGGGGGAGCTGAGAGCGGCGGGGGCGGCGGAAGGTGAGCCGGGGAAGGTGGCCGAGCGCCCCGGCTGCCGGGCCCTTCCCAGCGCTCCCTCGGGGCAGCAGCCCCAGCCCGCTTCGCCCCCACCCCATCCCCCCTTTCGTCGGAGGCCCTGGCTCCCCAATGCGCCGCTGGGGCCCGGGCACCCCTCGCTGCCCTCCAGGGACGGAGTTTGCACTCCGGGGTCCGGGGCGGGGGCGGGTCCTAGGCCTCCCGCGCAGTCCAGCCGGGTAGGGCGCCGGCCCCTCCCCGAGCGGCTCTCCGAGAGCCTGGGCGCTAGTCTGGGAAAGGGCACCGCCGCCTTCCCACGCTCCCGCGGCCGGCCACCTCCTTGGCCCGGGCGGCGCCCCTCGGCCGCCTGGCTGTGGCGGCTGCGGCAGCCAGAGATGCTGCGGACACCCTGCCCGCGGGGAGGCCGGGCGAAACTTAATCCCTTTGCTGCCAGGGAATGATCCCTGAGTCTCCGTCTGGGTGGTTCCTTATTTTTGGCCTAGCTGTGAAACCAGCTCCGTAGGGGAGAGGGAAAACTTATAGGTCCCCCAGACAGACTGCGATGGAACCCGGGAAAGGTGGGGTTTTCCCATTCCTGGCTCATAAGAATTAAGTAAATAACAGCGGAGTAGATTGACAGAAACATTTTTGGTGATGATAAGGTTTCGGTTACTTAGCATAACGCGTGCAGCACATTTCTTGGAGGCGTTTCTTCTCAGAGCAGGACATTGGAATCCTGGCGTCATTGGGTTCTTCACTTTTTCTCTTCCACACTCCCCTACCCGCCTTCATGCTCACTCGCCTTCTTCCTACGTGGTGATCACACACCTACTTGCTCACCGGAATCTCCCAACCAGAACCACACGTCTCCTGCAGTCCTGTGCACTCTCAGGCTCCCTGTCAAGCAGCCTCTGGCTTCTGAAACAGCTTTGCCTTTTTGAAGATTTCTGAGTGTGGGGAGGGTGGATGGTTATGGTTGGTTGTGTCTGAAGAGAAGCCCTTATAAAGGAGTGTATTAGAGGCTATGTAAATAGACGAGTACTGTGTGTGGGTTGATTCTTCTGATTCTTAAGTTGGGCCATAAGGGCTGCCTTTAACTCCATTCTGTCCCCTTCCAGTACTCCAATCAGTTCTCTGTCAATGTTCCAATGGAAGGGGAACCCTGAATAGGGGGAGTCCCTCCCCTACTACTCATTTTACCCCAGCTGGTTACCCCTAATGCTCACATCCCCCCTTTCACTCCACTTATCACGGCCTTGAGAGGGAAAGAGTCTTTGCTATTTTAATATGTTCCTGCCCAATCAATTAATGTAGATATACAATGGGAATTAGATTTCCCCTGATGGTTCCACACAGCTTGATTTATGTGGTTGAAATACAAGTCTAGGAGCCAAGGAGATCAGAGAGTTCATTTCAGATCTGATGTTGCATTGGCTTTGTGGCCTTAGGACATTCCTGTGACCTTTCTTTCATAGTTGATGCACTTGTATGAAAGACATCATATTGTGTACTGGCTATTGTGAGTCTTGGCTTGGTCCTTTGAAGATGAAAGGATTCTATAAACCTTCAGCATTATACTTTTCAAAGAAAGTACTTCATTTACCTTTTATTGAGGTAATAGTTTGACTGCGTGTAAGTAGGAACCCTGGTTTACTGGGAACCCTAACTTGCCATTATTAACCCTTTTGGGAGCCAAATCTATTACCCTACTGTGGTCCTAGGTCTGTTTCTTTTTTTTTCCCTTAGTGCACATGCAACTGAATGAAAACTTACATAAAATAAGACATACAGAGTAATGATGATTATTTTAAACTAAGGCTTGAATCATTTCTAATGTACTCCAACCTAACAATCTGAGTCAGACTCATTTGAAAACATAACCTCACTCATTTTTAGCCCATATGGGGGCAGGTAGTTACTTTCTGCTGAAAAGTGGCTTAAATACTTTTAGGCATGGCTATCTAAGCAGGATTAGTATCTTGCGGTGGTGAGTCAACAGTGTTTCTTAAAAGCACCTACAGTGTGCAGCCCTCTGCTGACTGGGCTAAGGCCCCAGCTTTGGCCTTACATTTTGGCCTCCTGTTTGTTTAAGGCATGCCTCTGTACTTGGAGCTCTCAGATTAGGACAGGGAGGGACTGTGCAGGGCAGGGGTAAAGTCTAGAGACTTGAAGGAGTGAATATTTCCCTCCCATTTACTTTCATGACTACTAGACTCCTAATCTAGCATGTTGTACCTTGCAAGTCCACCGCTGGGAAGTACTGCCACAAATCAGAATGGCTTGGTTGCTTTATGAACATATCATCTGAACAGTGCAAATTGATTTAGGTGAAATTGGTTTAGTTAATCCCTCCTCTAAGTGCAGGGCAACTTGCTCCAACTTGTAGATCCTAAAACAGTGCCAAGGGAGTCTCATAATTGCATCCAAAAATTGCTCTGAGTAGTGAACCTGTCCATTCCCTCATCCCTCCTCCCATAAAATCTGCTGACACCATGACAGTTGAGAAGGAAACTGCCCAAGGAATATGCCTTTGCTACTTGATGAAGAGGAGAGAATGTCTTCCCTTCACTCTGTCTCTCAGGTTCTCTCTTCCCCCAACAGGGACAGAAATCTCTAAAAGGAAGGGAAGATAGTGCAAAGGCATAGAATGTGTCTCAAATGGCTGTTCTCAGAGGTGTCTGCTCGTGTGTGTCATTCAGTCTTTGTGGATCTTGGTAACTCCCTAGCTGTTAGGCCATTGGCCTCAGCTGCTGGTGGAGGCCAGAGGGGTGTTTCATTGCCAATTAGCATTAAGTTTTGTTCTTTTCTTCCATGCGAAAGTGGGAAATTGGCACTGTGTGAAGCACCTCCTTACTTAGGCTGAGTATCTTGACTTAGAGCATTGCATCATCAAAATAGGATGTGTAACATGTTGATAATGGATATATGACAGTTCACAATTGTTCACTTTTTGATGAGTGAAATTTGGGTACCAAGGTGGTGTTGTGCTAATGTCTATATCCCAGGTCTCTCAACAAACCTTGTGTTTATCGCTGACCAGTGTAAAAAATAGACTTGAAAAGTGTTTCTCAACCAGTGTGTTGGATCATTCTAACAAGTGAGAAGACCAGATGGGTGGTGTTGCAACAAGAAATTCCGACTCCAATGATTCCCCTGTGCAGGCTGCTAGTCCTCTTTTTATTTCCCCTCTCTTCCAGGGATCAATATATGTTTCTCCATTTTCATGAATGAAAACTGTTAAGAGTCTTCTGTGGGCACTGGAGGTTTGTGGCTCTTTCTACAGTTTTTCTTTTTCCATCTTCCCCTCCTCCATAACCACAGACACGCTCTTTTGACAACCCCCCTGCTCCTGCATTGCCCTTAGAAATCTGTGTAAGCTGCTCAGACTACTAGATGGTTAATAGGGTGGCAGAGGGATTTTGAGCTATGTGCCAACATCTCACCATTCCCTTCTTCATGTGGGGTTCACTTGAATTCATAATAAGGGTTTTGGTTCTGCCTAAGTGGGTTAGCAAAGTATCCTTAGTAAGACTTGTCCTACTTGGGATCTTTGCTCCGTGCAGAGCTCCGACTGCCTGACCTTGGGCTTTGTCTCAGCCTCTTTCCTGCAGGTCAGACTCCTCTAGTCTCTGGATCTTCCTCTTGCAGAAACCAAAAGATCTGATAACAAATTCATTATATAACCTAAAATCCTCTTGAAACAGAAAATCCCAGTAGTTGCAGTTTGACCAGTTAGGGATATAACGTGTGGGCATGGGAGACAATGCTAATGCAGGACTGTGACGTGTCTGAATGTATACAGCCCAGAGGGAGAAAAATGGTTTATGGTCCAGAATCCTGGATCGCTTTTGTCTATAACCCTTTGTTCAGTGTTGCTAGGATCCATGTGTCTCCCAGGGGAGTAGAAGCTTGATTTCAAATACACTTCTCTTCTCTGCCCCTTGTTTCTGACCTGAACTTGGGGTCCTCTCAGCCTAACACCTAACAGCATGCCCTACATACATATATTGCCAATTTTATTCTGTAGAGGTTAGAGATGGCTGTCCATCCAGGTGTGCCCCTGAACATTTAAAAATTTACAAATATTTCATTGGGTAGCAGAGATCAGGAAAAGGAGTCCTAGAATAGATGGAAAGCTATCCTCTTAGCAGTAGGTAAGTTGTTTGTTCTCCATTTGTTCTCCAACCCCAAAACTGCCAGTGTAATTGGCATTAAGATAAAGGTGTTATGAATTGTACTTATGATTTCTGACAATTATCAGGTGTTACCTTGGCAAATCCTTTTCTTGGTTACTTAGATTAATCATTTGTGCTTGTAGCAGATCTAGGACTTCTAGTTCTGCTATTGTGATATTCATTTTAATGTTTATGATGACTATATTTTATCAAATAGCCAATGGTTGGATTGAAGAGCTAATTATTGTAAAGATCATTAAATCTATGTACTATAAAATATTAAGTAGGCTTTAATAACCTTTTAGACAGGAACTGGCTCTGGTGCTGTCAGTCAATAATCAACCTCCAGTCCTGAGCTCTCCCTGTGCATGATAAAAGCTTAAGAAAAAAGAAGAGAGATAGTTTCTCCCTTTGGGGAAACTCCAGTCTAACAGGGGATACATTTGGGCATGTTAAATACCACAGTCAGATGCATGGTCCTCCAGAAAACTTGTGGGGGAGTGTAATTGTCCTCTATTATGTCAACCATTATGCATTTGGGGTATATTTCCAAACATGCACTATTTTCTTAATAACTTGCTCTGTATCTGTCATCTGTGAATGTGTGTTGAGACTATCTGTATTTATAAAGCAAGTTAATAATATTATTTTCATCTGATCCTCACAAAAGCCTGTGAGATTGGGT